CGTTATATTTATGTAAGATAAAAGAAGTGGCAAAGATAATAAAAAAATTCAATGTGGCCAAATTGTGTTGAGAACACAACTAAAGACAACTCCAGAGGCCCCTTATTAAAAATAAAAGGGGACAAGAACATTTATTTTTTAAAATAACACTTAATGAACCAAAAGTCCTATAAAAGTATATTTCCTTTTCTCTTTCAGTGTTAATATAGGGAGTAATGTATACTAATTATCAGTTGTTTTCCAGAAACTCTCAACAAGGAAATGAAAGGAACATTTTGGTTTTACGCATGTATATTTGTCGAATACATTAAATCTTACTGTGGGACGATCACTATAGTGTCGCCATTTTTCGATTCCATATATTATGTATGGACGTGTTATTTTAATCTTGTGCGATCGTGTGCGAGTCCGAGAAAGAAGGATTTGAAATAAAAATATTGGTTGAAATGAATAGTGATAAACAAAAGTGAAAACGACTGTTTTTACTTAAGAAGTTTCATGTTATTTTACCTGTTATTAGTTGAACGGAATTTATATATTCAGCTGTTACCTTCGCTTAACGTCCTTTCCTTCATAGGTTACACAGAAATAAAACTTGTAGAAGGAATAAATAGCTGAATATGACTGTTGTTAAAACTATTACTCAAGATGCTAGGTTAGACATAATATGTCAGTTGAAGATTTTTCGTTTCTTTATGAGTGTACTTATTACTGTTATTTTACGTTCCTGTTTTTCAAGAATTCTGAAATTATTTGGTTCAAATGGACCTGCTATAAACAAAATTAATAAAAATCAGTTGTAGGTAATAAAAGACACTGAAATAAGCAATATATATAAAGTTAAAACAAAGGGCGTCATTGAAAAAGTGTAACATGACAAATAAAATTTTCACTCTTTATTATATAAATTTCTCTTGGCAGCAAGTTAAAACTTTGCCAGGATTAAATGAACTATTTTCGACGGTTTTTGTTTAATATCAATTAATTTGATTTCAATAAAATTATCACAGAATTTATTTTAATTAGAAGTTTGAAATTTTAAAATTCACAAAATCCATTCCGTTATATCATTCACTAAGTATTTATTTTTATTGAAGGTCAATTATTCCTTCGAATACAAGTTGTATTTGATGGTGAATAAAATTGAATTATTAGAAATTTGTACTTTGACCTAATTTATAAATCTTCAATTAAAATAACGAGTCGTCTGAAATACAATTTCTTGTGTAGGAAGGAAGTTTCTGCTCTCAAATGTCATAAATTTAAAATAACTTGAAATGTTTACTGAATATATAGAGAAAACGTGAGTCTTGTGCGAAACATGATAGCGTATGCTTGTTTGTGCAGAATTTTTAAATGGTTCACGCAGACATGTTATCGTTTTTGGAAGAGACAGTAGTGTTAAAAATAAATAATTTGGGCGTGTTTGTTTGTTATTAAAATTCTTTAATGGTTTACCCTTAGCGACAAGGAAAGTAAATGTTTTCTGATACAGCTGTTTTCAATTAGGTGGCTCATCACGAAGGAATTCTATACATTAGTATGTTAAATTCAGTTTTATAAAATATTAATATTGTCAGTGTAAATGAAGTCTAATATTTAATATTAGTTATCAGAGTTCTGCAGGATTTCTTCAAAATTTTATTTTTTATCAAGAGACGTATGCCTACCCAAAACTTGGGTATATCTGTCTGAATATAAGATAATTTTTTATTCAGCTATACTCTCTTAGAACGCTACACAACACAAAAAGAAATATTGTCTTAAAATTACATAGAATGGACACGCTAGGCCATGTATATGTAAACGTATGTCTTTTATTGAAGACTGACACGCTATTAACTCACAAAGCATCCAGTAATTACTTTTAGCTCTGATGTAATGTTAAAAGAGCTAGTTTATCCGAATTATATCTACAATATGTGTGGATGCTGTAGGTTTTGAACATTTGAAGAAGCATTAAAAGTTATGGTAATTATTTCCTAATTTACTATAGAAAAGTATAGAATTTTCCAAAGAAATGTTTTAACAGCTCATTTGTTTCGGAGTTGATGTGAAACCGGTGTAAATGGGTACTGAATTATTATAAATAAAATTTAAATATACATAAGGCTAATGTAGTAATGGCGATCCTTGGAAAAAGATAACCGCTACACAATTGTATTATAGTAATGTAATTTATAGTACATAATGCCTATTGTTTTTGTTTTATGTGTTCCGTGTGTCTATAACTATTGAGAATGGTAACAATTTGAAGACCTCATTACAATGTAACTGCGTTGTTATGTAATGTACATGTTTATCCTTATAAATGTAGGCTAATGAACAGTGTCTGTATCGTAATTTGCGCGCCATGTGTTAATGCCGACTATTTCAGTCGTAATCAGAACCACGAAGTATTAATTTTGGGAGCACATTTCAAATTTAGTATGGAGACAAGTATGTGTCGTCATAATGAGATTGCTTAGAGAAAGTCTCGAAAGATTTGTGTATACGATAGTTCTTGTAGTAAAAATAACAACTCATATATCGCATTTTAATAAATTGTGATTTGGGGAACATTCCAAAATTTTGAAAAGCAGTCTTTAATATCATTATGCAATAACACATTTATCAAATTCACTTAGTAGTATTGAAGGTTCTGTTACGAGGTACATTAATTGTGTATAAATGTTGATAACATAACCTAGGTCAACTGCATTTTCACTTTGAAGTTCTAGTAAGTCAAAAGTGAAACTGTGTAAATACAAATATTTACTCTTAACAATACTGTGGTGCGCTAATTGTGAGCAGCAACTGTACATTTGGTGTACCTTAGTTCATATATAAATTAGGTAAATAACTGAAGAAAAAATAGAATAGAGCCATCTTATTGCCATTCAAGAAACCCGTGTGTCTCTCTTTCATTTTTATACATACTTATATTTCGGTAAAACAGAATATAATTAATTTGAAATTAGGCTAAGTGCTCTATTTAGTATTAAGTACTATCCTTTACCGCTGTAGATTAATGGAATGAACTTTATACACGTTTCGTTCAATCTACTGTTAGCATTTAATGCATTATTCTTTAGTTCAGTAACTTTAAATTCATTACGGCGATAAACCAATCCAACTGAAAATATTTTAGCCACGTTAATAGAAAGGAATTAATATTTGTTGCATGTGAGGTACTTTCAGTTGTGCAGAGGTTCTGCGTACAAACATCGTTATCTGACAGCCCATACATTCCACTGACGCATTAGCCTCTGCATTCATTTCACCACCAAACCTACGTTATACATATTTCAACAAACGCTCTTCATTTCTTCCTTCTTAAGTTATTGCACAGCAAATTATTAAGCCATTTTTGCTTATTTAAAATTCTCGAACTTACATTTTCTTAAAACGTAAGCAGTGAAACAGAAACTTAAAACAATTTCCCTCCATTGAAGTGTGGTGTGTACTGAAAACGTAAATTAGCAAAACCAGATCTCTAGGTAAAAGAATTTTCTAACATAGAAAGTAACAGATTTCATTCAGAAATACATTAGTTACATATAAGTGGTTTTGA